AACATTAGATTGATACTTTTTTGGGGGTTTACTTGATTAACCAATCTAATACAAAAAATTTTCAATAACACATATGACGAATTCAATCTTCTATCCAAACCAAATATTTGATCGGATCTACCTATACAGAAAATGATGTGAATAGTATGCAAGAGATTTTGTTTACTTAGTTTCATGACCAGGGTCATCTCTAATCCAATTGGTAGTGACTAGAGGGGCCCAAATTCTTTACTCTTTATTGATTAGTACAAAGATTTTTTGGCTAATTGATGTGGGATTGTTTTTGTTTAACAATTGTATGACCAAAATTTGAGAAAATCTTCTTACTATGGTCTTGGAAGTGATGTTTTTAAATAGACATTCGATCATAAAAAATTGCATCTCAAAAACTCGGTCAAATCCTATCAAAATCGGGTTTGAGCGGAAACAGGTGAAAACGGACAAAACCTGATTTTTTCCATTCTCATATTGTGATGACTTTTTTCCCCCTTATCTTCCTTTGATATTTGGCTAGCAGCAAAGAACTAATCTAAAATCAAATTATAAACCCAGATTGCAAGAAAAATTCCATTAGCTAAATTCTTTAAACCCATTTCTCATGCAACTAATTTCTTGAAAATTTGCAATCAAATTAGAGAAAGAAGGGAAAAAAAAGAGCAAAAAAGGGAAGAGAAAAGAGAGCTTTCATGCGAGTTTATTGTGTGATGAAAGAAAAGAGAGAGCTATGGTGTAATCTAGAGAAAGAAGAAGACAAAAAAAAAAAAAAGCAAAGCAAGTGATGGCCTCTTTCTCCAGCAACTTCTCTTCACCTGTTGCTTGCTTTTATCCCTTCTCTACCATTCTTCACAGCACCATCTGGATCATCCTCCTCCTTATTCCTCGGCTGTTTCTCGTCGTGGTTTCTTTATCAAAAGCCATGAATCAAAATTACTAATAAAAACCAAAAGGCTTTGTTCAGCGAACAAGTAAGTGACGCCCGCAGCAAAGAAAACAGCAAGTAGGAGTTAGGTTCGACATTCATTTTCTGTGGATACCCTAAAACTTTTTATAGTTGTGTTTTGACCCTTATAGTTTTAGCAAAGTGTAAAACTAACTCATCACATTTTCCAAATTACATTTTTGCTTATAGCTTTCAAAATTATTTAACCAGAATCGTTTTGAACTAAATCTAAACTCATCAAATAACTATGTAAATTTGTAAACCACTAATTTAAAGGAAACTTTTATATATTATCTGAATTATATATCATTAATATATATTCATGACGTATTTATAATATCATCCGATTTGACTCTTGAATTAAACTATTGAACCTATTGATCCTAACCCCCGATTTCAATTGAGTCGCTTTTTGTTCTGAGATTCAAAACATAGCTTGGAAGTTCTAGCCAAATCCAAGAATGATCCTAATCTCATCCTTTGGAAGTGATTTTTTATGTGTTACTCCATCCATTGCACAGTGGTTACTATCACTAAAAATTGCAGATGCCGCCGAGTCCTCCTGAGTATAAAGTTTTCAAGGAAATCAAAGTAATAGTGGATGGTGTCCAGGAGATAATATACTTTAGATCTGGAATAAGAATCGACTGCACAAGTCTTTGACAAATAAAACAAGTATAACCTTGACTTAACTGACCAAAAGTTCAATACTTGATGGCTTCCATTTTAGTCCAAGTGCGACATCCCAAAAATGGGATAAGTTACGGGTTGTTGCAAGCAAGCTTGCACTAAAAGTTGCAACCCGATTTTAAGGATAGGTTGGTACTTGGGCCTAATACCTGGACCTTCCTTCCTCACAACTGGACTTGCCGAGCCTATGTCTCTTGGCTTTCTAAAAAATTTGAAATCATTTAGAAAATGTTTCTTCAAACCAAGCCTCCTACTAATTGTCATAATATATGGGTTTGCTTAAAAAATTCATGCGGATGCATTGTACACCTATCTAATCTGGTGGTCAGTTCCCTTCGAATTACTTTTGAATTTCTTCAGGTCCCTCCTCCCCTTTGTATAGAATAGTGTAGGTTTATCGTATCCGAAAAAAAATTTAGAAAATGTTTCTTTTTTTTATTATTTTTCAAATAAAAAATTATTTTGCAAATTTTTTTTTGTAACTTGATGAACCATATAACACAGTACCGGGTGGCAACTCGTAACTTTTACTAATAACTCTTTCTTCTAGACTATTTTTTTGTCTCTCCAAATCACTGCATTTTTAGAGCCCCGTATTCGGCCTTATGTTTTTCAAACCAAAACCATTTCCAAAGCCTTTCTTTTTTTTTTTGTTCATTCTAGAAACTATACTTTGTTATTTTTTTAGCATTAGAAAAGGGGCACAACAGTGCGCTTTGACACTATTGGTACCAGGGAGAGTTTTGCTCATCGAGTACATTCTTGTACAGAAGCCTAAACTGAGTTGGCACAATTTATTTGGTTCTTAGTTCTGCCCTGATTTAGAGTTTTAACTTAATTGGGCATTTCTATATTCAGAAACTGCATAAAATGAAGTAAATTATATCATATTAGAGACATGAACAATTCGCCTTCTTTTACTGTGAAACTAAAATAGGTACAATGGAAGTATCAATTGCTGGGGAAAAATAAAAATTGACTGAATGCAAAAGTAAAAAGATTGAGCGTGATTCGATTGACACGAATTCAACTCTAAGATTTAGTCTGTATTGTTGAAAGTCATTCTCTGGGGATGGATATGGAGGGTACCCTAGTGGTGGTTATGCAGAACATGGCTGTGGTAGCCGTGGTGGTTACGGTGAATATATTTTTTTGGTCGCAATAATAATATTTTAATAACCTAATCTATCATATTCTATAAGGATATTATCGCTTTGGTTGTTGTCTGGCTGCAGTTATTATGGCAGAGGTCAGGCAGTCGATGTAAAGCCTCTGAATTAATAAACCAGCCTCTAGTCTAGGCTACAATCAATACTATACTTGGCTCAATGTAATAGTTGTTTTTTCTAGAGTGAAACATGAATAAGAGCTTTATCAACTGTATCATTCATCCATCCATGTGTAAGTTGGCTCAATGCCGTAGTTGTTTACCAACATTGTGTACATCAAACGTTCTGGCCAGCTTACAGAGTAAACAACTCCTTCCACCTTCCTTTCTTTTCCGAAGTATAAAGGCCAAAGAGGATAGGGAAAAAAAAAAGAAATATGAAAAGGATGGAATAACACTTGGCATTAGAAAGTCATTTCATGTTAGTCCGGTCGAAACTTACTCTCTTTAGTCTTGACTAGTAGAATTATAGGAAATCACGAGTGCTTAAATTGATGTTTACAATTGAAACTCTTATATATAAAATTAAAATTATAGGAATTTGAGAGAAGACTATCTTAAATTTAAAAACATTGAAGAATTGGCCTGCATTAGTTTTTTTTTTTTTTTGTCCATATTTTGGGACATATTTCATACTATAGAAACTAAAGTATCTCATTACGAAGTTCAGGGATCAAAATAAAATTATAGCTATGGTTGAAGGGTAAAAGGTAGAATTAATCTTTTTATTTGGTTCTGAATTCTTCCCTGGTTCAACCTTTAAACTGAATGGCTCTACGAATATGAAGAAACAATACAGATTAAAGTAAAATTTTTGTTGCACACATGTAAGCTTATTCCATTGTTTCTAACATTTTCATCAGTTGCACGATGAAAAACAAAAACAAGTTGCAGAAGCATGGGCAAAAGGATGGACTGGACTGCTTGCAAGCAGTCCAGTCTTTGGCCATTGACAATTAAGGCTTGAAATTTTTCGAGACCATTAGTCCAAAATCTGTGACAATTAAGGCAAAAGGGTTCTTTTTTTTTTTTTTTTTCAGTTAGTGGTAGTGAGTGCAATTGTTTGATAAAAATTATAGTCCTGAACCGAACATGCTCGGTGTTTTGCCAATATGTAAATGGGATTATTATTTATTTCTGAAATTATACTATTACAAGAAAGTCGCTAGTGATAACAACATAGCAAAATTCACCAAAAATAACAAATTCGATCTTTTTCAAAAGGAACCCAACCTTTAGCTAGTGAAAGACATAAACTCTCACTTTAAAAGAAAGAAAGAGTTCGCTGTAAAGCTACAACAGATGCTCTGGATATATCATTTGAGAAGAAAAATTGATTAGTTACTCTAAAAAGTAAAAATAAGTATTATTGGACACATGCTTAGTAAACCTGTAAAAAGTAAAAATAAATATTATTGGACATATGCTAAGTACACCCCTAATGGACTCGGTCATTCAGTCACCATGTTGTTGAAAGTCATTTTTTCAGAAATGGGGCATCACAAGTTCCATTTCGCATAAGTTGGTATAAATTAACAATTTACTTTTAATTTATACCAAATTGCTCTCAGCTTATACTAAATGATAATAATCAACTTATATCAAATTGTACCTAATTTACACCAAATAATAACAAACCAATGTACATTGAACTGCACCTGATTTACATCAAATCGGACCTGATTTTTACTGAAATTCTATTGATTTACGTCAAAGTTCAAATTGTGCAAGATTGTGAGGCCTTGAATCCATTTTTTCTACCATTAATATTGAGCGACCAACCGATTCAGAAATGAGTTCCAAGAAACTTCTTTTGTCTTGTTGAAACTTTTACTTATGTTATTGTTTAACTTGTTTTTCAAATGGAGTCATTCATTTAGTGGCCTAGAGTTTAGGAATTTGCTGTACGTTGGAGTCTTTCAGTTATGACTTAGTCAGCAGATTTAGTGGCTTAGTGGTCTAGTCTTTAGGAGTGGTGGGGTTATGGAGAAGGTGCCAGATATGGGACCTGATCTTAAGGGATTTCAGTTGTGTGTTTTGCCTATTTAAAGGCTCCAAAGTTTACGATTAAGGATGACTTTTTGGCCACAGTACTACTGTTATCTTTGCTATTTCTTATCAGTGGCATCAGAGCTACAAGATTCCTGAGACCTGAGAGTGAAACACCTGAAATTATCTACTCTTCCCCACTACCCTATCCAAATGGCCAATGACTCAAATTTTGTGCAAGCCGCCATCCCTCGCTTTGATGGTCACTATGACCACTGGAGCATGCTCATGGAAAATTTTTTACGGTCCAAAGAATATTGGTCAGTGGTTGAATCTGGAATTCAAGAACCACCAGCAGGTGCAACCGTGACAGATGCTCAGCAAACAGACATTGAAGCTAGAAAGCTCAAAGACTTGAAAGCGAAGAACTATCTCTTCCAGGCTATTGATCGTCCCATCTTGGAGACTATTCTTTGCAAAGATACATCCAAGGATATTTGGGATTCAATGAAGAAAAAATATCAAGGCTCTTCTAGAGTGAAGCGCACACAGCTTCAAGCCTTGAGGAGGGATTTTGAAGTTTTGCAGACGAAGGATGCGGAATCTGTTACAAGCTTTATTGGAAGGACGATGGAAATTGCAAATAAAATGAGATGCTATGGAGAAGAGATTAAAGATGTTAACATAGTAGAAAAAATTCTGTGTTCTATGACGCGAGAATTTAACTATGTTGTTTGCTCAATTGAAGAGTCAAACGACATAGATGACCTCTCTCTTGATGAATTGCAGAGCTCCTTGTTAGTCCATGAACAGAAGATGAATCGAAGCTGGACAGCAGAGGAACAAGCTTTAAAAGCTTCTACCAACACTCGCTCCAACAGCTCAAGAGGAAGAGGCAGAGGCCGAGGAAGAGGAAGGGGAGATCGAGATCATGACAAATCTAGAGCAGAGTGCTTTAGATGTCACAAATATGGTCATTATGCTTCTGAATGTGTCACTGAACTGCCAAAGTATAAAGAAAGAGAGGAGAACTCAAATTTTGCAGAAGAAACGAATGAACCAGAAACTTTGTTGATGGCTGCCCATGAAGGAAAAAGATTGAGTCGAATATTTGGTATGTCGATACAGGCTGCAGCAATCACATGAGTGGAAGTAAGTCTTCTTTTTCGAATCTAAATGAAAGCTTTCACTCTACTGTCAGTTTTGGTGACTTCTCTACTGTGAAAGTGATGGGAAAAGGTGATGTTAAGATACATACTAAGAATGGCCTTGTGAAAACAATTTCTAATGTGTTGTATGTTCCTGATTTGAAAAGTAATTTGTTGAGTGCTGGTCAGTTGCAAGAAAAGGGGTATGTCATTACAATTAAGAAATGCACTTGTGAAATTTATGATCCTGATAAAAGAAGTTCTATTGCGACTGTCCAGATGAGTTCTAACAGATTATTTCCAATGAAAATTGAAAGCATTCAATCTTGTTTGATGGCTGAAGTAAAGGACCCCTCATGGTTGTGGCATTTTCGTTATGGCCACTTAAGTTTTGGTGGACTGAGGGCTCTACAACAGAAAACCATGGTGACAGGGCTTCCGGAAATTACTGTTCCCTCCCTAGTTTGTGAAGACTGTGTTGTCAGCAAACAACACCGTTCTCAGTTTCCCAAAGGAAAGTCTTGGAGAGCAAAGGATGTGTTAGAGCTGGTGCATTCAGATATTTGTGGCCCAATAAACCCATCGTCTAATGGAGGTAAAAGATACTTAATTACCTTCATTGATGATTTTTCAAGGAAAACATGGGTTTATTTTTTACAGGAAAAATCAGAAGCTCTTACTATGTTTAAAAGGTTCAAAGCTCTTGTGGAAAATGAAGCAGGCAAGACTATTAAGTCTCTTCGAACAGATTGGGGTGGCGAGTATTGCTCAAAAGAATTTGAAGGTTTTTGCATGCAACATGGCATTCGAAGAGAACTTACAGCTGCACATACACCACAAAAAAATGGTGTATCGGAGCGGAAGAACAGAACAATTCTTAATATGGTGAGAACTCTATTAACAAGAGGAAGAGTTCCAAAGACTTTTTGGCCGGAGGCTGTAAAATGGAGTATTCATGTTTTAAACAGAAGTCCAACTTTTGCCGTTCAAAACAAGACTCCTGAAGAGGCTTGGAGTGGAAGAAGACCAGCTGTAGATCACTTTAGAATCTTTGGTTGCCTCGCCTATGCCCACATCCCGGATGCGAAAAGAAAAAAACTTGATGACAAAGCTGAGAAATGCATCTTTCTTGGTGTAAGTGAATCCTCCAAAGCCTATAAATTATTCAACCCACTGACGAAGAAGATTGTGACCAGCAGGGATGTTGTTTTTGAAGAAGAGAGCACCTGGGATTGGGATGGGCAGCAGCCTAAACAAGTCTTTTATGATGATGATGCTAAACAGGAGCAAGTTCCAGCACTTGACATGCCACAAAACTCTTCAGATACAACTCAAACAGCTACTGGAATTTCACAACCAGTTGCTGAAGTAAATGAAGAAGGAGCCCAGTCAGTTGGTCGAATTAGAAGAAGGCCTGCTTGGATGGAAGATTATGAGGTAACTGGGTTAAGTAATCCAATTACTCATTTTGCTTTGTTCGCAGATTGTGATCCTACAACTTTTGAGAGTGCTGTCAAAGAAGAAAAATGGCAAAAGGCAATGGACGATGAAATCAATTCAATTGAGAAGAATGACACTTGGGAGTTGTGTGATCTTCCTAAGGGGCACAAAACCATTGGTGTCAAATGGGTCTTCAAGACAAAGCTAAACAAAGATGGTGGTGTTGACAAGTACAAAGCACGCTTGGTGGAAAAAGGATACAAGCAGCAGTACGGGGTTGATTATACAGAAGTATTTTCTCCAGTTGCAAGACATGACACGATCAGATTGGTGGTTGCATTAGCAGCGCAAAATTCTTGGCCTATCTTCCAGCTAGATGTCAAATCAGCATTCTTGCATGGGTATTTGGAGGAGCAGGTATTTATTGAGCAACCCCCTGGCTATATTAAAGTTGGGAATGAGAATAAAGTGTTCAGACTGAAAAAGGCTCTTTATGGACTAAAGCAAGCTCCGAGGGCTTGGTATAGTCGAATTGAGACTTATTTTCTTAAAGTTGGTTTTATAAAATGTCCTTATGAGCATACAATGTTTGTTAAGATTGAAGATGGGGGGAAGCTTCTCATAGTTTGCCTGTATGTTGATGACCTTATATTTACTGGAAATTGTGATACCATGTTTGGTGAATTCAAGAAATCCATGATGAATGAATTTGAAATGACTGATCTTGGTTGGATGTATTATTTTCTTGGCATAGAAGTAATGCAATTAGATGATGGAATTTTCTTATCTCAAACGAAATATGTGGGAGAAATTTTGAATAGATTTCATATGAAGGATTGCAATTCTGTAAGTACTCCAATTGAATGTGGCATGAAGCTACACAAAGATCATGATGGAAAGAAGGTTGATAGCACACTCTACAAACAAATTGTGGGCAGTTTAATGTATCTTACTGCAACAAGGCCAGATATAATGTACTCTGTGAGTTTAATCAGCAGATATATGGAAAGTCCCACGGAGTTGCATTTGTTAGCTGCCAAGAGAATCCTTCGTTATTTACAAGGAACTCGAAACCTAGGGATATGCTACAAGAAGGGTGAAAAATCTAACTTGGTGGGTTATACTGATAGTGATTATGCAGGAGATCAAGATGATGGAAGGAGTACTTCTGGCTATGTTTTTATGCTTGGAACAGGTGCAATCTCCTGGTCATCAAAGAAGCAATCAATTGTCACCGTATCCAGTACAGAAGCTGAATTTGTTGCAGCTACGGCTTGTGCTTGCCAAGCCATATGGCTGAGAAGAATACTTGAGGAGTTGCAGTTCAAGCAATGTGGAGCTACTATAATACTATGTGATAACAGCTCTACAATCAAGTTATCAAAGAATCCAGTGTTCTACGGAAGAAGCAAGCACATTGATGTGAAGCTTTATTTTTTGAGAGATCTTTGCAAAGATGGAACTGTTGATTTGATGCATTGTAAGAGTGATGATCAAGTTGCTGATATATTCACCAAGGCGCTCAAGAGAGAATCGTTTGTGAAACTCAGAGGATTACTAGGTCTCTGCAACCTAGGTTCAGTCAAGGTTGTAAACTGATGTTAGTTGTTTACTAACATCAGTTTAAGGGAGGGATTGTTGAAACTTTTACTTATGTTATTGTTTAACTTGTTTTTCAAATGGAGTCATTCATTTAGTGGCCTAGAGTTTAGGAATTTGCTGTACGTTGGAGTCTTTCAGTTATGACTTATTCAGCAGATTTAGTGGCTTAGTGGTCTAGTCTTTAGGAGTGGTGGGGTTATGGAGAAGGTGCCAGATATGGGACCTGATCTTAAGGGATTTCAGTTGTGTGTTTTGCCTATTTAAAGGCTCCAAAGTTTACGATTAAGGATGACTTTTTGGCCACAGTACTACTGTTATCTTTGCTATTTCTTATCATGTCTTGCATTTCGTTGGCTGTAGTTCTAATGATCACGTGTCAGGTGGATGCTAGGGAGTTGGCTGAAACTTCCACGTCAGTGTCAGTTGACAATTGTAAGAATTTATTCTCCAATTCAAATTCCACCCATTTCTTATCTGCCTGGGTTTCTTTGTAGCATATGTATATTAAAAACTTTGGACCACAGAATTTAGCATTTCAAGTTATGTATATAATTTTGGTTGCACATGTGAAGTGTCCGAGTACTAAGAAACATAGCTGAAGTGTTCTTTAAGGTTTAGATGCACCTTAGATAAGCTGCACCTTTAAGTGTCAAGCCTTTTCCTGAAGCGGGGCTTGGGGGTGGTAATACACTAATTCTAGTTAATGTGTGTTTTAACTAGTATTATATGATAAAATATAAAATCATACGGGGAAAGGTTTGACACTAAGGGATTATATGGTAAAATATAAATTATACGGAATTAGTGTGTCATGTATATTATATTTATATATTTTGATTAATTCAATCATTTTAATTTTTAAATAAGGGTAATTTTAATATTTTCAAAGGTTTCATTACGAATAATCATTTCGATCACTTTGACACTTTAATCCAAATTATGAGGGAATTATGTATAATTTTTGAAACCGTAAGGAGGTTATGTACAAAAATAACAAATCATAGGGGGGTAAAATATAATTTGCCCTTTTCTTTACACTGGTTTAGTAATTCTTATTTTACATGAGTATGAATATACAACATATAACTTCTAACCAAATTTGAAGCTTTAATTTTTTACATATGACATGCATCCAATCATATTGCTATAGAATTTCCCAATATCGATAGTGTATAAACGATTAATTAGCAAGAACCATGTTCACTATGATAAAATAATCTATCAGTTGGTAGTGATGACCATGTTCAGGGAGTTTGTGAAAAGAAGGCAATAATTTTGACACATACATTAGAAGACAGAATTCCAAATGATTATGATACTTAATTGATATCATATGCGTTGACCAAAAGCATGAACACAAATCTGTCGAAAGTTTACTATTTGAAATTGTGACTGAAGTAATTAACGCGCGTGCCATATTTTTGCTCATTGCAGCCAAGACAGAAGAAGCAAATGGCCTAAAAGAAGCCAAGTACCCAGGTGGCTATGGTGGGTACCCCGGAGGAGGATATGGTGGTTATCCCGGAGGGGGGGTATGGAGGGTATCCTGGAGGAGGTTATGGGGGGTACCCAGGTGGTGGATACGGGGGCTATCCAGGAGGAAGGTATGGTGGATATCCTGGGGGTGGCCGTGGTGGTTATGGTGGAAATTGCCGCTTTGGTTGTTGCGGCCGAAACTATTATGGTGGGGGTTGCAGGTGCTGCTACTATCCTGGTCAGGCTGTGGATGCTGAGCCTCAGAACTAATAAAGCCAGCTTCTAGCAAGCTCATTGGTGATATATAGCAGCACTTAGTAGTATGAAGTGCGGATAAGAGCTTGATTATTGATCATGTAATATGACTCCATGTATTTGTTGGGTAGTTAAATATTTCAAGTATGTGAGTGTATTTGTGTCTCGTTTTGAGCACTTTTGTTGTGATGACAAAATATTTCGTGGGATATGTCTTCAATTCAGTCATTCTCCACTAAAAATTGGGAAGGTTACTATTTCAAATTAGAAAAAATCGAGGCTTATTCTGGTCACTTTTTCTGTAATTCTAGGACTTTTTTTTAAGTATACTTCGTTTTTAATCTAACACAAATGTTTGAGATAGCAAATTTGGCAAATGCAACCCTTCCTTTTGGATTATATTTTTGACTAATCATAGATAACAAAAAAAAAAAACCCTTACTCGTATTCGTGGCAATACTGATTAGACTGCTAGTTCTACTGGTCAGCTTACTATAAAATTGAGTGGTACCAGTTGGGAGCTGCAATTCATGGCAACATTAGCAGTGCAAATCAAATTTTGGGATGATATTATATGAACAAATCCTTTAACTGATTGCCAATTTAACACACTAAATGATCTCGAAGAACATAGTTTAGGTGTTTACTTGAAATTTGCTGCACCAAAAAGTCTCGCGATCTATTCATAATTGATCATAAACCTTTATTCACCTCTTTTATGCTTTCTGCAATTTCACATGTACTTCAAACATTGAAAGTTCAATAAAATGACTTTTTTTTTGGGTTAAAAGAAAGACTTCAAGTCTTACGAGGTGAAAGGAAGAAAGAAAACTGAGTGCTTGAATCCCAAATCAAAGGTCTCACGATCATCTAATAAATGTTCCCACCAAGTGAGTCGAGTTTTAAAGGCAAAGTGACAATTTCCTTTACTATTTACTATTTTCCTACATGAGAGGAGTTAAGATAACGTAGATATTGTGAATCTCTTTTTTCTTTGTTTTGGTTTACTTTCTGAGCTATTTGATATGTTTTTTTTAATACCTAAAGGATTTGTCAGAAATTATCTTTTATAATTCTTTGTATAATTTACGTTTGGGGGTAAAATTATCTTTTACCACCTAGTTTGAGGGGATAAACTGAGATTGACCATGTAAAATTGCAAATTGTATAATATAATATTCTTTTCTCAGACTAGCCATGTCATATTGGATTTTTTCTTTATACCACCAATTCAGTACTGTGACATAAAGAAAAATTTGTCACCACTACTAAAGCTATACTAAAAGAATAATTAATGGGATATCCTAATTACGAAAGTAATTGTACAATTGCACTGCGGGATGGGTTAAAAATGTCATAGTTTCTGGGAGAAGCTTTTCATTTTGAATTCTACAAAATAAAATTTAACTATCTTTATGTTTTGTCATCATTATGATCCAGACCATTAATTCAAAATCTGTGATGGGGTTCTTTTTCTGAGTGGTGGTAAGTGCAGTTGTTTGATAAAAATTAAAGTATTGAGCTGAACATGCACGATTTTTGGTGACAAAAGAAGCATAAAGCATTAAAAAGATGGGAACTTCTTAGTGTCAATATGTAAATGCGAATTATTATTGATTTTTGAAATTATAGTATTAGAGGAAAGTGGTCAGTGATAATAACATAGCAAAAAAAAATCTCTAAAAATGACAAAGTCAACCTTTTCAAAATGAACCCAACTTTAACCAGTGAAGAACATAAACTGTCATCGTTTTTTCAAGGTAAAATTGTTTAATTTTGTTGAGATCAAGAATGGAAATTTCTACAAGAGATAGACTCAGATGCATAATACAATTCCTATCTATTCACAATGTTCAAGCTACTGAAAGCTGTGGAAAGACAAACCCCATTCCAATGCTAAATTCCAAGTTTCATAATTTTTTGAAAATTTTTCCCAACCTGACAGGTTGATTTTTTTTTTATTATTTTTTTTAAAAGAAAGAAAATATTTGCTGTAAAGCTACAGTAGATGCTCTGGATATATCATTTGCGAGGAAAAGATTGATTAGATACTGTAAAAGTAAAAAAAAGCATTATTGGACACATGCTAATTAAACCCTTAGTGGACTAGGTCACTATATATGCTGTTGAAAGTCATTTTCTACAATTAATAGTGTCGACCTGCCGATTCAGTTCTTTGTACGACAGTACTGAAAGCTTTGACCTGCAATTTGGGTCGAAACCTCCAACCCTTTCATCCTAGTCGATTTACCCACGAGGCTGGCGGACATTATATAATCCAAGTAGATAACTCATTGAATTTTCCGTGCATTGCATGCAGAATTTAATGATTTATCCACTTGGCTGCTGGGCATAATTAACGTGTCCGGAGGCATTAAATGGAAGAAAAATAATCTTATCACAATAGCACATTATAAGCGCAAAAAAAAGTGAAGAAACATACATTTAAAGGGCATTTAAAGGTGCATAGGTCCTGGTAAATGTTTCTATTTTGAAAAAACCATAATACATTCATAATTTCTGTTACATTTCTTGAAATAAAATGTTTGTTTTCTGCAGCATCCAACCCAGTGGAGTCTCTGTCAATGCTTTAATGAATGATAGAAGCAAGACATGCAGCGTTTTACGTGCCGAAGCAGGAAGTTTGACTTCTAGCAGAATTGCAACTTGGAACTATTAATTGAATTTGTTTGTCGGGATCGCATTGGACACGTCAAACTAAATTGCAACTTGGCTTACAAATTGCACATTGTAGGACATTAATTTCTTTTTTTTTTTTTTATCAAAGAACAAATATGCATACGTTTTTTGCGCAAAATGTTAAGTGCCAAAATAAACAAATTTGGCATTGATTGAAAAGTCGAGAAGAACTCGTGAAGGATTTATATTAAGTGCTGAATTGGATAAACTTGTCTTATATTTCTAAGGTCCACTGCTTATGTGACACTCCGAAACTATCTTTGTCAAATGCCAAATTTGACCACTTCAAGAGCAGATAAGGGTTCATGTATTCCTACATCCTCTCCCTAAAACAATGGCTTCGAATTTTCCTGTATTTGAGGACACTGTCACTTATTTGTCCGGTTAGATATGACAAGTGTGCCTTGGAATTGAACCATGTAGGTTGAGCAAGGAAAAAATGCTATGAGACACGGTATAAGGGGTAGACCTCAATTGCAAATGACACAATAGTACCTAAGTCTGACAGTCATTTTAGTTTTCTTTTTGGGGTAAAATAAAGATGAATAAAAGTAAATAACATCCCTACAAAGTAATTAGCTTAGTACAGTCATCCCAAGGAGGTGACTCCGCTCAAGTCATTTAGTAGTTGAAGAGACCAGTTGAATTTCATACATATAGAAAGGTCTTGTACTCTTATGATAGTGAGACAATTGTGTATTTTATTTGATGGTATTTGATCTCAATTTTGGCCACTTATTATGCAAAGTAATGGGTTTCTGCTCATAATTGGTATTTGTGTCAGTTGCAGGCGATTGGTATCAAAAGTGATGAAAAGAGGCCAATTTCCAGAAGACTATTCATTCCAGAGCGTGCCCACGCCAGAGGCCGCAGAGTTAAGTCCAAAAAGAAAGACCGCGGGACTTATCCCTGGAAGCTCGCCACTATTTTTGGGAGATATGTTTTGAAGTTGCGTGGGATTAGGAGTCATCTTCAGAGAATATTTTGGCAACAAATCAAGGAGGAAAAGAAGGGAAGATATCCCATATAGATACAAACACGTATTTGGCTAAAGGAGGCGGTGGCAGAAAAACTTTAAAGAGGAGAGCAACAGACTAGCAGTTTATCTTTTATCTTTTTCCTTTCCTTCTTAACATGAGTTAGAGATTAGCATCTGTACTTTTTCATCAGCAAAATTATATTAAAACTTGGGATTGGATCGTCGTCATGAGGCGAGGCTAAGTTCCTTTATCTAGTTGAGGAATAATCAAGGCCCGGTGCACAGACAATTGTGAGATCTTTTTAATTGTTCTGTGTTATTTTAAATTTTGCGTTAGTGGGTATTTAATTATTCTTTGTTTTAATAGGCTATTATTGTTTGGATTTATTGGATTAATGTGGCCAGTTGTTCAATTGTCTGAATAGTATACTGCCAATTAGGACGATGGTGTGTATCACTTAATTGTCTTAAAATTAGTGACAAACGGCGCAATTTCATTGCCTCGCAAGTAGTTTAATCTATGTTGTAGGAATAGTTAATCTAGTTTAAATGAACCCGCATGTGTATTTGTTGACTAGAATTGGGTTTCTCTAATTCCTAAAGCTGTGAATAGATTAAATCCTACGAGCGTTTCTGGGGTTATCTATTTTACAATGGAGTAGTTTAAGAGCGTCTCTAGACTACCATATAATTAAGGAGAGATTGGTAGTTTGACGGTTGTCGAATTGCTTGAACCAATTTACTTGCGAACGTGTGAATTAATTCAGGTATCTATGATCAATTGCGTGAGCCGGTGCCGAAATTATTTCCTTAACTAGGTTGTTTCAATCAATTGTTTATTATATCCTTTAGCTACTGCACTGTTTGCGAATTGCAGATTCAGTACCCTACATCTTTAATTTGTTCTTTTATATCTCCCTTCCTAAAACCCCCCAAATTATCTATGTAATAAATCTGCCAGTTCCCTAAGAAGACGACCCTACTCACCACCACACTCATTTAGTTTTGGGAGTAGGTATTGATATAAATTTTATTTTTGGTAGTTTGACAGCCGCCATCTTACTAGGGGTGTTGGGCGGCTAGGGCTTCTTGAGTGCCATGGCAACATCGGCTGCTCTTCAACCGCAGGCTGGAGGGCATCCAATCTCTACGGCGCATCCTTCATTTCAACATAAATCATTCTCTTCACTCTTTTCTTCAAATGATGGTCCAACTCTGGAATTGCAGACAGACAAAACGACGAGAAGGGGGGAGCCAGCAGTGGTTTTCTCTCCGCTGGACGTGTCAAAAATTGTAGCCTCTTTTCAGCTTTCTTTGGTTGACAAGTTTTCAAAAGGTCGTCCTCCCATGGAGGATATTCGCAGGTTTTTCAAGGCATTGGATTTGAAAGATGAGATTTCAGTGGGTCTCTTAGATCATCAACATGTGCTTATTCGTCTTGCTAGTGAGAAGGATTTTCATTGGATTTGGGGTAGGAACGTATGGTATGTATTTGGATGCCCAATGCGGCTGTTTAAATGGACTTCATCATTCCATGTCGATAAAGAACCTTCAATAGTTCCTGTATGGTTTTCACAACCGAAACTGCTAGTTCATTTTTTCAAGAAGGAATGC